CTCGCCAGATCCCTTAATGCCCTTTAAACAGATGTTTTCAATTCGAATTCGATTCCATTCTTTTGTTCTTTCTGGCTAGTGCCGCATCAGCAGACGTGGGAGGGTTGGAATCGAAAATTTAGAGCAAATAACTTTATCCGAAGGTCAATTGCATTATTTACTTAATATTTAAGAATTTTTGAAAATTCTATTTATGTTGAAAAGAGATGTAAGAACATTTATTTAAGTATAATAAAATCAATATTGAAGAAAAACATTAATTTATAAACACTAAAATATTATAAGCACTATTGTTGTAATTCAAGGAGACATTTTAAATCAAATTTCAATCGAAAATAATTCCCAAGCAATGTTTAGTTATTTCCCAATATATATAATATAAATAAGTAAGCATGTTGCTCATTAACTCAGTACGTCTGTGATTTTAGCTACTTGAGCCTTGCTCCATTAGTAAGCAACATCAAACGCAATATTTGATTACCCGACCTTTGCTGCAATTTCATAAATTTACCTAATTAAACTTGGCCCGTTATCCAAAGGAAACACAAGCAACCGAACTGCACAAACAAAAGGCAAAATAATATTAGAGATATCTGCATGTATAATTGCTCAATTCATAGTCAAACATCGGGCTTCAAAAGGTGCAGCTGTTTGTTTTCTGTAGGCCCAGCAGGAGACACCTGGAGAAGTTGGCCAGGTAGTTGCCAGGTAGCCAACGAATATCAATAAACCGGGTCCTTCTGGCCATATCCTGCTGAGGAAAGCGGGACAGATAAACAGGCAGACGGCCAGGGGCCACGTGCTGATTAATTCATTAAGGATTAATGAGCAGGACATGGGAACAGGTCGATGCAGGACATCTATTGAGGAACAGCTGACTTCTGTGGGGCATATGGCTACGCATACGCAGCCAAATTGTGTAATGCCCAACTAAATTGTTATTTTATGTGGCATCATCATAATAAGCGCATTACCAAACAGGCAAAGGGAATATTGTCTGTGCATTTAAGGATATATATTAGCAGGAGCACACACGTCACAAAATTCCCAGAGCAGTCATATGGAAAACTACGCACGTCCAACCCGGCAAAAGGAAAAGGACGTAGACGAAGGATTCTCACAGGTCTCAGTTGTAGCTGTCATTGAGACGATGCCTCGGGGACATTGAACCCTACTCATTCTCGTCCAATTTCTGGCAATTCCCATCATTGTGGCTAGTGTTGCCAAATATAGATCACAAGTCATAGCCAAATAGTTATAATTAAAAATGGAAGGGAGCTCTAGTTTTCTAATCCAGTAATAATTTTTAACCGACCGTAATTTTTTATCAATTAAAAGTCGGTACTTATTTAATATTTTAACGTTTTTAAAAACAATTCCTTTAAAAAACCAAACTAGTTTTATGAAGTTAATTTCTGAATTCAAATGAATTTCATATCTGTAAAAAAAACATAACATTAAAGAAATAGACACAGTGAAAAAGAAAATATCGCAATCTAGCTGCAAAATATCTTAGCTAACAGCACTGGCTGAGTAACTTCATCGGAACGCGTGCCGAGAGTTTCCAGGCTCCAAGGTGCAGACGTGTGGCCCAACCGAAAATAGATACTTGGATATATTTCAAAGCGAAGGCGAACTTCGACCCTTCGCTGGTGGAGCATCAAAAATTATAAACATTTTTTAAAACACTTGCCATGGAATTTATAGCCCCAGCTACGTGCTGCGGTCACGCATCAATTTTCTAGTAGCTTCATCATCCTGCGAAGACAGTTTCTATTTAATAAACTCTCCTTGTGTCGGTTTCAATGAAGGCGGTCAAAGTTCGTGTCAAGTTTGAGGGGTCACATTTAAACTCGCTTTGGATGAGGGAAATATAAAAGTATAGCGAGTGTTCCCGTTTGTAAAATAATGCTTTAATAAACATTTATCCTGTGGGTTATTTAACATGGGAAAAATATATTCCTATAGTGTCATCTTTACCAGCCCCAATCTATACCCCCTTTTCAATATTTGGATTGTTTAAAGCGGGTCAACAGAACTCTCCACAGATTACACATCATTACACGGAATCGATGGCTCAGAATGGATCATGGGACCGGCTCAGGTTTATTTACATTAAAACATCATCAACATGTTTATATCAACATCAAACTCATTTTACGCATCACCAAACTTTGCGTAATCCTTTGATCCTATGAGGCGCCAGGCACCCACAAAAAAAGGTCGCAGAAATAAAATCAGAACCAATTCGAAGCCAAAGGCTCATGTGGCGGCCAAGGACGAGGGCATGGCGGGCCGGCTGGAAAAGGGTTTCATATGTCCCGACGACCTCCGGTTGTTGTCACAAATCCGAAATAAATCAGTTAACTTCCCGAGTCGAGGGCTTGTTAATTTGAAATTTATACGAAAAACAATTTAAGCATTTCAGCCGAAAATGTTGCCCCGAAATTGGATATGGGCCGCAATCTACAGCCCTTTTCTTTTTCCCACTCGGTGGGTCCTTGTGTGTGACCTTGAGTGGTGTAAAGTGTTGGGATAGGTCTAGTTCTGATTGGAATCTAGTTCGCACTTGAGATCTTTGATTAAAATGTACGGTGTTGAAAAGGGGCCGCAATTTGTAGGCTTATTGTGGTTGATTTGGTTTTCTAAAGAAGCAATAAAGACGCCCTAAACTTTACATTCGATTTTTGGAACCAAAATGATTTAAAAAGTTTAAATAAAAGAATTCTGTTTAATAACAAATTATTTTATCAGTTGAAATTAAGGAACATCTCGAAAAACACAGTAAAACATAATAAAATATAAATACGTTATTTATTTAACTATTTAACTACAAACTGCGAACAAACAAAAAAATAAAATTAAATTGTAATATTAATAAAAATGTCTAGTAATAAATGTAAATAATAATTTTGAATAAATTTAAAATAGGAATGCGACGTCAATGCAAGGAAAACTCCTTGATGATTAAGGGGAAATAGTTTATCCCACCGCACAGACATCAGAATTCTCTGAAAAATGTCAAAGTTTAGCCCAACCATTTATCTACGGCACTGCACTTGGAGCAAATTTTGTATTTTACCAACTCCCACACATTTCCCTAATGAACCGACCCCAAACCCTCGGTTGCAAATATTTATCTTCGAGATACCAGACGCACATACTCGTACATGACTTGACATTCTGGGGAGACGAAGTTTCGAGGCACCTGGCAGTGACTGGAGCCACAAACAGAGCAAACTTGACAGTTTCAATTAGCCCAGCCGTCTCTTTCTGCCTTTCGGTGGCTATAAGGATTCCGCAGTCTCATTACGAAATATTTAATCATATTTTAGGGCAAGGAATGCTCAGCCACGCCGAACAATGCAAACAAATGTGCAAAACCTCAGCCATCAGATGCACGAGTTGCAGGGATGCAAGGATGCCTGGATACAAGGAAACATGGATACAGATGCAAAGATACACGGATACAATGAAATGGTTCGAGTGTATTTGCCAGTTGGCAATAATATCAAATTGCACTCGACTTGGCTTCCCCGAGGAAAGTGTATCCAGGGGATACACAAATATCCTGCAAATGCCAACAAATGTGCAAACATCCCCGCTTTCTTCGTCTCTGTCCTGCAAATATTATCCGAGACTTTTTGCAGTCGGGATAAGCTCTCCCCATAAGCCACATATATATGTATATTCCATTCTCCTCCTGGCTCAGCATTTTTCTCCACTCGTGTTGACAAAGTTTGTTTCTTGTTATTTGATATGCTGCGCGGTTATTTGATAATAACAGCTGTCTGCGGGGGTGCCGTGGTAAAGGGGCGGAGCAATCGGTGTAAGGATCCTCCTGAATAGCTGTCCCATAATATCAATCGAAGTCCTTCGCCTGCTGATGAGGCATTCAATTGTTTGCCAACTGATTGTGCGACTGACTTTGAGTGCGGAAATTCCGCGCGAAAATGGAAATGGAGTGAATGGCGAAAGTTGTCTGGATGAAAAAGCGGGAAAATGTAATTCACTCTTGTCTTCGCTTGGAAAAGGGAAAGGTATTTATGTTATTTTTTCTCCTGAAAGAAAACTGAAAGCCAGGTTATTACGCTCAGCGAAGATTTTTCATCCAATTGTATTTAGGGATCTCTTTTGTTTTACTCTGTCTTTAGCAAAGGATCAGGGTGACTTGGTTTAAATATGCCAAACTTAACTGTCATTTCAGTAATGATTAATTTGTACCTAAGCTTAGATCATTTTTGAAAGTGTCTTAAATTTGTAATGAATCACACTCAAAGGCGAACCTTCGGTTGTCTGTCAATTACGTTCAATTGAAGTTAATTTAATTTTGAATTCTCGAATTTCCACAGTTTCCCCATTTTCCCAAAATTCAAAGACACCGAGAAAGAGAGCCACTTAAGCCCCAACTTAGACCAAATATAGAACCAAAACAGGGGCAAAGGCAATGCTCCGGCCAAAATCAATAGGACTGAGCGAAGGCTTGACTTGACTTAACCACCATAAGATATATCCATTGATGTCCGATGACCGGCAACAAATTCGCTCTGCCTCACAGTGAAAGCCAAATCTCATTTGCACTTTCTGTTTTGCTACTGTCGCAACATTAGAAATGCATTTGGGTGGCTTGGTATGTAAATAATTCATGGCTACCACAGGCCAGCATACATATGCGCCGTCAGCTTAGCATACACATATGTCTGGGGACAGTGAAATCTCCCCCAGGTGGACACTTGAGGTGACCAGATCAATCATTTGTTGAGGGGACTTTAAGTTGATTTGCACATACATTCATTTTCCCATTCCGGTTTATTTGAATCCGCTTATGGGTCTGCTAAGAACTGAATTTTAAAATAAATCTGTTTACTACTTTATAATCAAAATTACTTTAAAATATTTAAAAATTTTAAATGTATATGTATTGACTTGGAACAAAATGTATTAAATTTTAAAAATCACTTTCATTTTTATCAGAATATTCTCTGTTTTAGTCTGCACTTGTACAGCTTATGCTTCGCCCCGGAGCTTTCTTCCTCTTCGTCACTCAATGTTCTTTCTTTCTGCCATCGATTGACATAGTTCCACTTCTAATGGATTTTTTCACGCCAACGACAACGACACAGTTGTTCGCAGGGCACAAAGAAGTTGAGTGTTTTCCTTGTTTACCTTATTTCGGAAGATGGTAGAAGTCGATGGGTGGGCGGTCGGAAAAGTTCTCAGCGACTTACCTGAAAGACAAAGAAAAGGGAAAGAATAAGAGAAATGTTGATTAAAGTTGTAGCTAAACTGAAAGTTAGAAATTACATTTAAAGTTTGAGATTAAGTTGGAGCACTTTTCATTATATTTTATAGAGCAGAATAATTGTGAAGGAAATCTAAAATGAGTTTATTAATTAGTGTCAAATTTCGAAAGAATTTATTGAATTATATATACTTATTTATTTGTTCGTCACAGACTTAAAAACTCCTTTGAGTTCAAGTGCTAAAGTTTATCACGGAAGAGTTCTGAAAACCATTTTCTATTTGTGTCTCCCCATGACGTTTGATATATTTATGGGCTAGTTGAAATAAGAAAAGTCATATTCAAAATGAAAAGACTTATCAGCTTTGGCTGATTTCTAATTGGAAATGAAACAGAAATAGGAATACTTAGGTATGGAAACGCAAGTTTATCGCAGCTGTAATCTGTCAGAAGGAGAAGTCAGTCGGGGTCGGCCCAAGATGGTTTAGTCGCCATAAAAAGTGCACTTCTCTATCTTCGGGTCTCCCTAGTAGTTCCTCTTGCTTTGTTATTAAAACCGACAGTTTTATTTGTCAGCAGCACGCCCGTCTCGTTTCCGAAGAGTTGGGATGCTCCTCCCATCCTTATGACACTTTTTCCAGTACGTACATATATTTTATTTTACATTTTCCCCGCTCCCTTTCTGCTTTTGACACATGTCATGTGTTTGCTACGCCCTCGAGCTAAAAAGGAGAGGGGTTGGAAATGGTTCAGATGCACAAGTGTGTAAGACAATTGATTTTTTGTTGTCTGCCCTCAAATCTATAAAAATAAACTCCGATTTCACTTCCTGGGAGAGGGGGTAAAATGCATGGCGGGAAAAGAGCACGGTGGTTGCTCGGAAAAGGGGGAAAAGTGTTGAAAATTGAGTTGAAGTGTTTTCGGTCGGGGTTCTGACATTGGCATTTGCAGGGCGATCCATCTTTTAGCAGTAGTTTACAGGAACGTATTTTTTTAAAGGGGAAACTAAGTACTATAAATAAAGTCAATGGTTAAATTGAACGATATAAATATTATTAATATTTAATATTAACACCTTAAATTTAAACACCCTGCTTTTGACATTTATATGCTTTCTTCTGCTTTCAAAACTTCCCTGACTTCTTGAGTGCATATTGCTCCCTGTCATTGAGGGATTTTCTCTTTTAAAACATGGAAGAAGGGAGTAATTGCATGAATCAGTGGAGATATACACCCACGTCCCTATACCATTCCCCTCCACTTAGCCTTCCCCCTCTTTTTATTGTCAGTTTTATGAGTCAAGTCGAACGCCTCTGGGCGGCTGATGTAGTTTTTAAATGCTCTCACCGATCAACGATTAATACCGCCGGGAAAATTGGGGAAACTTCCGAGAGGGGCAGCACTTTTCTCACCTTCCCGTTTCATTTGATTTTATTTTGTGCTTTTTCTCCGCTTTGTTCTACTTTTGCTGTTCTTTTTTTTTTGGGTCACTTGTGGCCCTTTGCCTATTAACTTTTTGTGGTCGGCGACATCCGTTGAACGGTGACAAAATTAGAAAAACGTGGGCGGGGCTTGACTTTGTGTCAAATGAATTAATAACATAAAAATGTCAAACCTTAATTATCATAAATAGACAAATGACAACAAATATTAGACGACCCATTTGTAGTTCTCTTTCTGAAAATGCGAAAATGAAGATTCTCCATCTCTCTTAGTTACATGCCCAATTATATATCTGTGTATTTCCATATATCTTTTAATGGCTGCTCATTAGTTGGAATTGGCTTGACACTAATTCGCTGGCGTGACAATCAAATTTATGAAATTACAGCGCCCCTCTTTCTAGCCCCAATACCCTCCCTTTCGTTTTTCTGCTGTCTGGATTCTTAATTAATTTGTTGGCGTTTCCATGAATTAATTAATAATGTGAAATCAAATGAGCCTGATTGTTGTTCTTTTGGTTTGAAAGGTGAAACAAATCTAAATTGGTACTTTTTGTGGCATTAATTTATGCTCTAATGAAATTGTATCAATATAATGTATATAATATTTTTTGGGTAACCATTTAGTTTAGGTGAAACTGTTTTATCTTTTTATTACAAATTTTTTTAGGATTACATTTTTTATTTTCCAGAGTTCCGATATATTTTCTTCGATTAAATTGGGCATAAAATCGAAAAAAGAACCCAAAGAAAAGTTTTATTTTTATATGGCCGACCCGAGGACTTAATCATTAAAATTCACTTTGCGCCTGCTTTAAAATCAAATTTTTGGAACCGTAGCGAGAAGTTGGGGATCTGAAGGGGTGGTGTTATAGTAGTTGAGCATATGCTGCCTGCTCGGAGAGAATTATGTGGCGCAAAATAATGAAAGAACAAACTAACGCAGGCAAATTTATGCGTTGTGAAAAGTTTTTTCCTTTGCAGTCGGCTGCCAGAAGAAACAGCATACTTATGGCACCCACTGTCCAGCCTTTTGAATGGAGTTTTTATTTTTTTTGGTTTTTTTGGGAGGCCGGCAAATAAATTTTTTTTGGCCCTCTCTGTCTTTTATTCCCGCCTTTTCTTCTTTTCCATGGCAAAATGAGGCGCAACGAAGCGTATGACAAACAGATTTTTCTCAAACACAAATCTGTGCGCTGAAAAGAAAAGAAAAGGCACTGGCAAAGGCAAGAAAAAGTGTAGGAATTTCCATAAAATTAGAATAACAGCAGCCGGAGCTGCGAAGTCGGCAGAGGCAGTGATTCTTTACCGCCGACGGACAGTCCCAAAATTTATGAGCAGCGCCGAAAAAGAAAATATGCAAGGAGCAAAAACAACAACGACGACAACGAGAACAAAAAATGTGCAAAGCCTAGGAGGCACACTGCTAGCCTTGTAAAATTTTGAAAATATATAAAAATTTAAAAAAATTTTTAAGCCTATAATATAACTATAACCAACTTATTGGCTGCTTTAATTAATAATTATTTACGAAATTCAATAATTGTATTCCTAGAGAGAAAAAATAGTTACAGTTTCTGACAATAAAAATATTTACAATAATTACAATAATCATTAATATTCAGAAGTTAGTCTCATTTCAACAAAATATTTTTTATACTAGAATTTTGTATGTACTTTTATATAAACTAAATAACTTATAAACTAATTATATCCTAAACTTATAAACTAAAAATATCCATAAACGCTTTTAAAGAAGTCAACATAAATTAAGTATAAATTAAGCATTTAAAACTCTACATTAACTACCAAATAAATAAAAAAAATAATTAAATGGCTCTATTCAAAACGTAATATTTTTTTCGGTGCACCCACACTAGTAAAAAAGCGAGCGCAACGCCAAAAGAGACAAGAAAATTGTGTAAAAAATAATTGAAGTCGAATCTGCGACAGATTTTACACACGCACGACTGTTGGAGAATCTAGGAGGTGAGGAGGGGCTGGGCGCCAAATAAAATATTAGGGCAAAGGCAAAACCCTTTTTTGTCATGTCCGCCATTCCTGGCTCCCCTCATTCTAGTAGTTCCGTCCCCAGAGTATTTTTTTATTCGCGGAATGCTGCATTTTTTATTTTTCAATTTGTTCAGCGCCAAGTTTTGTGGGAGAACTTACGGTAAGTAATTTATCTTGACAGTGGCGGCTCAGTCGTGTGCTTGTGTGTACGTTTTTGTTCACAGGAAGATTTTAATTTCTGATTTTTTCTCCATTTTGGAAATATTTTTATTGAATTAATGGAAAAGTTCTAGTGAAGTAGTTTATAAAGTGATAAAAAAATAATAAATTTTAAAATAAATTCAAGATTAAAATAAACAAAATTCCTTTTAATGCTCGACTATATTAGAAGGTGACTAATATATACTGTTACTTTAAAATATAGAGGATACATTATAGTTGGGACCGTTATCTGCATCCCATTTATTGCTTTTTGCTTTTCGACGTTTCAACATTGCACTATTTTTTCCTCACAACACGGCTTTTTCACTCGGTTTCAGATTTATTTTTAGCTTTTTTTATTTTAAAGGTTTTTTGTTGTAGCGCTAGGTCGTTTGTGGTATTTTTGGTGATATTTGCTGTGGTGCAACTATTTTCCCGCGCTCTATCTCTCTTTTTGCGCTGAATTGGAATTACAAATTTTTTATTACTTTGCGGGCGACTCTTTTTCTCGGTTTTTTAGTTGCTGTTCTCTGGTTTCTACGTGTGTGTGTTTTTTTCATAAATCTCCAAATTGAGATTTATGTTAGTTTTGCATATTTTAGCCATGTCCGAGAGCGGTTAGCTTGGCCCGCAAAAGGACGAAGCCAAAAGCTTTAAAACTTTTAGTTTTTCGCTGTGAGGTGAAGTGGAAGGGGATTAATAAATTAGTTTGCGGTCGAATTGTCGCTCTTCTGGCTCTTAACTTTTTGATTGCCGTTGGCGGTTAGCTGACAGATGGCCAGCAATTAGCTGTTTGGGAGTCCAAAGTTGGCTCCATTGTGCAATGCGAATTTTAAGTGCGAAAACTTTTCAGAATTTTATTAATAGACATTCGGATAATTCATGTATTGATTTTAATATATTTTGTATTTTTTAAGTTATATTTTTAAAATAAATTTAAATTTATAATTTAAATCTATGTAACCGTCACACATATCTATCAAAATTGTTCTACGCTCTTCCTAAGGGTTTTCCACTCAATAATTTTGATTTCCACTTGATGATTTAGATATTCAAACTGTTTTCAATATTTATGCAAATGCTTAATCCACTGTCAGAACTTGAGCTCATCGCATAAACATAAGTATTTCTATTGGGACACGCCCTCCCCTTGGCAAATCCATAAAATCCTCCAAAAGCTGCCAGATGTTTTCCTGACGCAATGGAAAGCGAGAAGGAGAGAAATTCGGAGTGAGAGGCCTAATAATCTGTACGATTTGCCTTTTCGCCTTTTGCCAAGAGATTTATTACCGCCTCGTTGCGGATAAGAGAAGTGCAAAGACGGACTGAG